AAAAAAAAAAAAAAAAAAAAAAAAAAGAAGAAAAGAAGCCAATTTCACGACAAAAAATTGTTATCGTGCAAATTGAGTTTTTGTGGCAAAAGTAATTTTTTTGCTACGACAAGATGCTTGTTGCGAGTATTGTCGCTCTATATGAGTCACAGAATACATTCCGCAACAACTTTAGCTCATTTATCACTTTAATAAACTCGTAATATTATTTGTTTGTTGCAGAAAATATAAAATAGCAACAAGATATTTGTCGCCATAATGTCGTCGCAACTCATATTAGTCATGAAAAATCAAAAGGGCGATGGGGTAAGTTTGTGGCAACGATTATTCCAATAATGTTTTTTTGTTAGAAAATATTTGTTGTGAATATTATTCTAAAGGTATAACTTTTGTTACCTATTCTATTTTGCAACATCACATACTCGAAATTGTATATCTTTAATAACAAGTCATGTTTGTCGCGAAATATGATTTACAATGCATTTAATATATTGCATAATATATTTTTAGATACTCAATATTTGTATTAAAGTCTATTTTTAGCACATAATTTTCTATTTCTTGGATTGGAGTAGAATTGTAACTAAAGTACACATTAATTTAAAAATGTAACCAACTTTAATGAAAACAACTCATGAGTTTATAAAAAGAATGCTTTAATGTAGAATTACTACAATCTATAATTGATTTCAAAATATATAAAAACACATATTATTGTCAACCAAATATATATGGACCAAGGTATCATTTGGAATCTCTAATCAACCCTCGGAAGATGCGTCATCTGTACTAAAATCTACATAGGAAAGAAAATAATGTAGATAGTCATTAAAAAATAAAATAAAATAAATCATGCAAAAAAAAAACTAATAATAATAAAAAAATCCACAAACAAACAAAATACATATATAAAAAGCATGCTGTACTTACGAATGTAACCATCGCCATTATCATCTTTATCATTTTGAGATTTCTCATCATTCACTGCATATACAATGTATTTTCATTCATATTTTTATTTAATGATTCTACCTCTAAAATGTGTGTCCAAATTCAGGTTTGTGTCAAAATGATGGGATAAAATCGTCAAGGAACCTTTCTTTCACCATAGGTATGCTGAAAGAAGAAAAAGGATATCATGCAGGTTGATTGTTGGGCTTCATGCGATGTAAGTACAGAGCGACACATAGACGTTCTTGTAATTTGATCATAATTTGATCAATTTTAAGAAGGGCAAAATAGTCTTTTAATATTTAATTTATTAAGAAAATTTGAAAATAGAAACAAACAAATAAAATAAATAAAAGTAAAAAATAAAAAACATCTTGCACTTTTAATTATTGTTTCTACTTTTAGCTGTTTTAGTTAATTAAATTTTAAAAGATCATTTTGTCCTTTTAAAAGTAAAAATTGTTCAAATTAATGTCAGATTTTGACTTTCAATCAATTGACGCACCTTTAAATGAAAACCATTAGAGATCCATTGGTGCATATTTTCTTAAAAGTTTAGGATATTGTTGCACATTTTTGAAATGTTTGAAACCTTCATTGAAATTTTCCTTATGTTATTTGATTAAATATTAAGAAATTAATTGATCATTTTTTTTTGGGAAAAAAAGAAGAAGAAGACAAAATTAGTCAGATTATAATCAAATGTTTGCTTTTTTGTCAATTAATAAATTTTTAGACGGAAACGAACCCAAGATCCTTTATCTCACATTTTTGAAAATTTTGGAACTACACTACACTTTTTAAAAATGTTTAGTACCTCCACTACTATTTTCCCTGAAATGAGTGTCTTGCATATAGGCTTTTGATGTCTTGTGAAAATTGCAGACACATGAGCTAGTCTAGATAATTCATTTTACACAAAAGAATAGTCATCTATGGCTCTTGTATGCACCAGATTGTAAATGTAACATCTCCAATGGTTACACATAAAATTTGGTATAAAAGTTACAACAAATATAGTGTAGTCATCGGAGACGGTCTTAAACCATATGTTACACCCAATTTAATTTTAAATTATTCAATTAAAAATTATATTATTACTAAGTTAGTTATATTTAGTTCTTGTTTGAGCCCCATTATTTTATCATTAAAATGAAAAATATGACCGTTATCCATCACATCAAGCCACTATACTTGACTTTTTATCTCTTGTGCGGGGCCCATAAATGTTATATTTTTTATTCTCATTTTTACAATAAGGTGACTCAAACGTGGGCTTAATGAACTAAAATATTGCATAAATGAATAATTTTTTTTAAAAAAAAAAATCTCCAACAATATACCATAATTATAAAAACTATATCGAACACACAAAAAAATTTACATATAACAAAAATGACACTCCATTTTATAGCTTATGTGTCAAAACTAGAGTGAAATATCCAAATGGTCACTGAACTTTGCCAAAAGTTTCCACGGGGTCATTAAATTTTAAAAATCACCAAATTCATCACTGAAGTTTACAAAAGGTTTTTACGGGATCACTTAACTTTAAAAATTACCCCATTCATCACTGAAGTTTGCAAAAAGTTTTCACGGGGTCACTAACGAACTTTGCAAGTGATCCCTGTGAAACTTTTTGCAAAGTTCAGTGATGAATTGGATGATTTTTAAAATTCAGTGACCCCATGAAAATTTTTTGCAAAGTTCAGTAATGAATTGAATGATTTTTTAAAGCTCAGTGACCCCATGGAAACCTTTTGCAAAGTTTAGTGATCATTTGGGTAATTCACTCGTCAAAACTATTATATACATCCC